ACTTTTACAATGGTCAACAGCCTCAAAACCAATCAAATCCGCCCAAAATTCCCTAAAAACCCTATGATGACGCAATGTAATGGTTTTGTTACTAATAAATGATGTAATTTTCACAGCTAAAAGTGATCAATGACGCAATAATATGATGTACAGCACTTCTTATGATGAATACAGGTGATTTTTTCCTTGTAAACTAGCTGAAAACCAATTTTTGAGATTACGAATTTTTTCAGATGTGCTCCAATTTTTGATTACTAAAGTGCATCTTGTAGCCCACGTGTTACTGATCATTTCTGACACCTACATGACCTACTTCTGATGAGTGATGAGTAAGATATTGAGTTGTGAAGTTAAGGTTTTTAGTGTTACATATGACTTGTGACTGTAAATTCGAGATTCACACCAATTCTTTATTTGCCTTATAACTTTTTACACACACCTCCGTTACTAATGATTTAAAGTTTGTACATTATGTAATCCACTCTTCTGCGTTGAATGAGCCATCTACCAACCTATTCTGACTTCATTTGACATATGTAATTAGCTGAAAACCTCCATTTTCCACGAATTTCACCCATTTTCTTCACTTTTCACAGCTACTACTATCTTTTTCTTGCTCATGTAATATGACATCATCATCTATAGCCTTAAAAATCCCGGAAAATCCTCTTGGCAACCTTAAATTCCATCACTACCACTATTACACAACCAAACTACACGTGTACCTCTTGTTTACCAACTTCGAAAAAGTGCTTTTTTCCTAATAACTTCTGTTTCTACTTATCAACCTTGAAGATTAAAATTGTCATAGTATCATATAATGTTGTTCTTTCATATTCTAACCTCATAATACCCATAACTTTATTTTTACTAACCTAAAAACCATTTTCCAACCTTTATACCTATAATTTCGAATTTTTCTTATGTTTTTCTTTCTTTCTTTTTGTAATAAATTTGTAAGTAAACTATAATGATCTTAATATATAATGTGAAATAAAATGATGTAATGTTGACCTAATGACCAATACATAAGCCTACAAGAGCTTCAATTGATCAAAAACCTCCATTTCAAATTTTCTTTCCTGCTGAATCCTGCTAATAAACTGGTAAACTGGTAATTGTGAATTTTTCAATTGATCCCATAAATTCATCACCACATCGGGTACCTCTATCAATTTTGATGTGAATCAAACCCCAACAACTACCAAAAACCTTGACGCTCTTCAATCACCTTCAAATACGGCCTCGGGCTCAACTCATCCTCCCATTCAATCCATGATTTCACCGTTTCAGAAATTGCCTCCGGTATCTGATCAGCGTTCTTTGAAGCGTAAAAAAGATATTGAGGATCGAATGACTTCTCCAAACGTACAGGTACACCCAAACAAGCGGACATTATCAGGTAAGATACCCGATCAAGGAAGCTTCTAGCTGTTGTATAGGATACTAACAACCATTCCTCTTGGATCGCATCGAAGTACATACCGGCACATCAAAGTCAAAGTCTTTGAAAAAGAAGACAGTAAGTCACTAAATCACTTTCTGTACTTTCAGATTTCATGATTTACACCAATTTTCTTCGCACAGTTTCTTGACCCTTCAAATTCAGGAAAACCTACTCATCGGAAAGTCACTCAAAGCAACACCCATGATCCATCAGTTACAACATCCACGTCTGAAACTTCAGATCCTCCCCCGGTCATTTCGGTCAAGAAAGAATTTGATCCTGCAATCGCTCTGCTTGGGTTATCAAAGGCTAGTTTTTTTGTTGAAGAAGAAAAACAGGCCAAAGAATCGATCAATTGTACATCGGAGACAAATGCAAACGAAGTCAAAGACTTGATCGACTTCTCTGATACACATTGCTTGGACATGGGAAATTTGGGTAGGTACTCTTTGCTTGTTATAGCGTCTTGGATCATATTGACCCCATCAATTGTGTCAGTGATTGGCAAAGATATCCAATCGATCTCTTTTTTTCCCTGCAGTAATGGCCCAAAGAAGTCTGGTATTGAAATCTTTCAAGAAGAAAGAAAGCGAGAGGAGAGAAGTAAGTCAAGGCTTGTTCATATGTGACTCATATAAATCATTCTGACACACCTCTTGATTCAGTATGTACACTGGAAAATTCTCTTTCTCAGATAGTTGAGAAGGTTGGTATGTCTACAACAGATATCTTACGATATGAACAGCGACATGAAGAACTAGGTTCGTTATTGCTATCCTTGGTATATCTCGTATTGTACAGGCTGTTTCAAACTAAGATTTGTATTTTTTAGATCATGCTATCAGTTCATTGTGTGAAAGCATCAAACATATCAAGAACAAGGTTTCGAAACTGGCAATATTTGAAAAGAAAGTGGACCAGCTTGAGTCTATGATGTCGAAATTAGTTGGAGATTTGAACAGCGCTAAACACGAGATTGAAACTCATGAAATGATACTTGAAGGCATGATGAATGGACAGGTAGAAGATGACAATGAAACCTCTGAGGATGATTGATCGGTGATTGTATCTTCTTGAATTTTATTATAACAACTGGTTTATCTCACTTTTATCCCATGGAAGACTTATGTTTGTTGGGCTGGTCCTAGATTTTTTCAAAATATCTAAACATGTATGTGAGGTGAAAACGAATTCTACTTATTTTTTTCTTTCTTATCCTCTGTTTTTGCGTTTTGTAAACGTTTGTGTGCTCTACTTGTATTTATTCCCTTTGTATCTCAAGGAGAACCTGTGTTTAATGAAGCGGATGTTCCTGCTGATACCTTGCTTAATGATAGCATCATGGTGCTATCATTTCATTCATGGCCGCATTCAGAAATTTTTCAAGGTGTCTTGTAATTTTTCTGATGAGACCAGCAGAAGGGCGGTCGCTCAAAGTTTGAAACTAGGCTTTCAGGTCAATAACAACAGTTGAGAGCGCATTTTCAAGCTAGATTTATTCAATTATGTTAGGAACAGTGTAAAATCAGAGACAAAAAACCACATTTGCTAGATACAAGATCAGACCTTAGCAGTTGATAGTTTCACATTGGTTAAGATACACCAGACAACGCGCCTTCCTGATCTTACAATTGCAGCAAAATTCCTCAATAGCAACCTACAATCACTTTTACTACGATATCCAAGAAATTGATAGCAACTGTAACACAAATATAGAGAGAAATACCAGCACAAGTACCACAAGACAAAAAAACAAGCATAGAGGTTACGAGTGGATTAAGCTACAGCAGACAAAACAGCTACCTAATCTTATGATTTCCGCAAAAGTCCTCAATAGCGACCTGCAACTGCTTTTACAAAGATATCCAAGAAACGGATAGAAAATGTCAATGAGATACTATTGAGACAACACTCTATCATGTCGGCTCTGAAGAAAGATGAACAATTGATCCTACCAGAGTACTTTGAGTTGTTCCACTCAATTAGTTGTTGAGACTCGCTGCGAGCCTTCCATCTCCGCGTTGGCACAGGTGGAAGACGGAGCGTGCTCAGGTTCACTTGGTTTTCTTTTGGAAAGGAAACGGGTTTTAGATGCCAAAAGTCAGAATCCATGTACGGTAGAGAATGTTTGGAATGATTGTTGTACATGATGAGATGAAGCTTACCGATAGTACGATGCCAGTGCAGAAAGGTAGCCGACATCTCGTAATGCGCCTTGGAACGTCTTTTCGCAAGATTGCAATATGACGTTTGCAGATTTGAGACGGGAGTGGACAAGTTGGCGGTCGCTTGGGGAGATGCTGGGTTCAGATAACAAAAGTAGTCCCGCCTCGACGCCCTCGTGAGCATGTTGTAGGGATCTCAGGCATTCGTATAGGCCTTCTACAGCTTCGTCTTCAGCACTTGCAATTTCGTAGATTTTGTCTTGATTGAGATGTTTATGAGTCTTGATGAAATTTACAAGGTTTTCACCTGCATTGCGATATTGCCCGTTCCTGAGGTATATAAAAACAAGATTATTGAACTCTTCAATGCGTTGACTGTCTATCTGAGATCCTGGCGCCACCGTTGTACGAGAGTCTAGTGGTCCAAACATCGGGAAGTCCAACTCCGCATGAAAATAGACGGGAGCCTCAGGGTTGACAGGGACATGTACATGGGAAAGGCGGCGGGCTACCATCTCCTGAAACGTCTTTTGAAGAACTGCACAATCTTTTTTGGTTTCTTCCTTGATGATGAAATGCGGATAGAATGCCAGGATGATCTCCAAAATTTGGGGGTTGGAGGCTTGACTTAAAAAAAGATCAACATCGATTCTAGGTTTAGTTTTGTCGGTAACAAAATCAAGAATATAGGATGGTAGAAAAATATGGGTTTGCATTGAATTTGAAATGATGTGTATAAGCTAGCAGGTCTGATTGGGATGGAGGAAAGCAGACGGAAAACGTTTCCAACTGATCCTCAACTATATGTACATCTCTCAACAGGATATGTAGGGGCATGGATGTCCGACTTGTCACCGGGAAATTTTGCTTGTCAAGACTCAATATAGATCATTATCCATGACTTGATCCGTTTTATGTGCAAGTACATATATGTATTCACTGGCGTCTTGATCTCCACAAATATGAGATAAACACACAAAAGAAAAACCTCACTCTACTACATAGATGTTTACGCACAATGTTTACGTATGTTAATTGTTTGATGGCGTGATTGGCTGATAAAACAGAGTTGGGTTCAAAGATGTTGCCAGACAGCATTGCCGTGTTGTATGAATCATCACTTGCATTAATCTCCATTCCTACGAAGGAGAACAATTCTTGCCTAAGATCCCACTTATAGTTACTTGCCCCACTCGACGTGTTGACCAGGACAACAGCTTGTTGAGTTTTGAATCTAAATGAATGGCTCATTGAGTCAGCACCTAGTGTTTAACTCAGTACAAAATTTATGTTATAAACTCATCGAACTATACACGTCTTTCATGAAACTTAAACCCACCATCTTATAATTTTTGTGCACTTCTCCTCATCGGCAATCAGCTTATACTATGGACCCTAGCAATATGGATATCAGTCAAAGCGACATGTATGAGTGGCTCTGCAGGCGTGACCAAAGAAACACTGTCCACTTCAACCTGAACCGCCAGCAGCTTGCGGTAAAAGTACGGGAGGCCCAGCCCAAATGTCAGTTTCGATCATTCATCAACACACTGTTTTCTCAAGGTAGACATTATATATACAACTCATTGACTCAGACCTTGATTTGTTATACAGTATTTCCGAACCCTTACATATATAGTGATATACTGACCACCAGTGTCCAATCTCAAAGTGTAACTTCACCTGAATCATCTAAGTGCCAAGTTCAGCAATTAGAAACAGACGACTCTGTACAAAAACAACATTTGAATGTTCATGGGAAGCGTAAACAGTCGGTGGCTGATGGTAAGTTGATTTCAGTCACCCCATTCTTGATCATAAAAGCAGAGCATTATGAATTTTAACACTTTGCGTATGCTGTAATCAGAAGCGAGACAATTCAACGCTGAGCCAAGAAGTATTGAACAGACGACAAATACACAGATGGAAAAACTGGTAGGTCTTTCTACGTTGAACATGAACATACATATCCCACACAGATATCATCTGACAAGGAATATGGCTTTTAGCGTCCCCGTTTTGCAAATTATTTGAACCCAGTTCTACCTATCCCTCCAACTCGGGTCTCGCCGTCTTCAGTCATCAAGAAAGAGTTCAGTTCTTCTGAAGAGGGTAACACGACTTCCAATTTTGAGCGTAGAAAATTTCAAAAACCTTTAACCTCGACCATGCGTAGTTTATCGGTTACAAAAATCCTGAAGAAAGAGCCAAAAAGAGTTACGACATCACCTAACATCAGCCACCAAGGTATTGCGTCACTCAATCATCCCACCCGGAAGTTCATTTTTTTGGAACCTTACAAAAAAGAAAGAAAAACATCGGAAGTCAAGGAAAACGAAGCATCACCATCAGTCCCGAAGGGATACCACGAGGATTTGATATCATTCCACAATTTTGATTGGTTTCAAACCAAAAACACTGGTATGCCGATTGACTAGCTAACTGCGTGCTATCTGTGTACTGATTATGATTCCTGGTTTGGTCCAGTCATTGGGAAAGATATTGTACCGATCAAAGCTGATGTTTCTAAAGCATACAGCTCTTACAACTCAAAGAAGATCAAGTCCGGTGTAGATATATTTCAGGAAGAAAGACTCAAAGAAGATGAGGGTTTGTTCTGTACTTCCTCATACTCCGCTTTGATCATTTCTCATGCTAATTAACTTGCTTCTGAATTATCTTAAAATTAGTTTCTACACTCAAGGAACAAGTCCATGTGCTGAAGGAAAAAGTTCGGGACGTTGAAAAAATCCAGGGAGACATAGTCATGCTGGAGGATAAAGTACATACACTTGAGAGAGGTCTCAAGGTGGCTTGTGAGAAGGTCAACTTACTTGAAAATTTGCTTCCACGACAAATAGGTAATGAAACTAATGAACTAACAAGTACAGGAGAAGAGTCAGACTGTTCTTCGGGTCACAAGTAAGATGTACCAGTAAAAGATCTGCTTCTATATGATCACCATGAAATCAATTTTCGAAGTTCACAACATGAAACTGTGTATCACGTTTTCTTAAACCATCATATCATCATGCTGCAGTATGTAATTAGACCAAACTCAAGTCTATTTCCCATTATTATTCAATCAAATAGATTTATATTTGTACATTAATTGCTTGATGGGGTCACTGTTTCCTTTTCGCTGGATCAACAAAGCAATCAATTAACTTTCGATTCTTCTCTTCGATTTCTCTTGTCCTTCTCATCTCAACCACCTCTCAATACAGTCAAAATCTGCTGAAGGTAGTCTAAGTCAGCATATGATTCGAGATCAATTTTGAGAGTACCCAACAGAAATATATATATCTAATCCACCTGAAAAAAATCAAGCAGTGCCTAACATCTCCAATACTGAATTTTGCCCGTGTGGTTTCAATTCAAGGTAGTTGTGAATGTCAATGAATCACGTTGCATATGTATCATAATTCATAAGTAGTAAGATACTTATCAGTAAAATTATAGTTGGAATTACGTAGGACTGAGAATTGGTAATGAGTTTGCTTATATGTACCTCATAAGGAACCGCCACCCTTTGAAACACATACAGTCCAAATAGGAACGTTTTCAAAATTGGCAACATCAGTTCTTGACTAGATCTCTTGACTCAGTTTTGTGAGGCCTTCTGGAATATATTCAAGCCTTTGAAGAGGTCAGAGCGTTCTATCACCTTGCTCCCCACCTGTCAAACATTCAAATTTTCTAGCTTTGCCCTTGAATAAGGCATGTATAATCTGATCTGAATTCTTGATTACTCGACTTCCTTGTATTCCTTTAGAAATCAAGACCCTTTGAGACACAGATATAATAACCCTCTCAATCTCGGTGATATCAGATCTTGATTCAGATTGGTGAACTCTGGAATGTATACGACCAGTCCTTTGAAGACGTCAGGTCATTCTATCACCTTTCTCCCCAATTTTTGATCATACAAATTCTCGAGCTTTGCCTTGATCACATAAGACACATATAACTGTTTTTGATTGCTTGACCTCATCTCACTTTTTATTGTCTCATCTCAAATCAAACACTACTTTCACATTCATAGCATCAGTTTCACATTTGTTTTTCGTGATATAGTCTTATTTGAGGATCAATCTGCAGATCACTTTATCTAATTACAAGGTTTAGCAATCTTGATAGTCCACAACAGCATGTTAGCAGCCTGTCTTCAAGCTCTACCAAAAATAGTTTGTGAAAGCAGTAACACTTCTGGTACCCAAGAAGACACGCCTTCTTCTGGTTAGTAGCCATCATGCTCTTTCTTCTGATCACATCATCATGGTTTGTTGACTATTTTACCTTTACAGCTCTACCAAATGTAGACCCGGATTCACCGCCGATTGCATCTGTAGTACCTGATGGTTATCCTTTAATCGAGACTCTTCAACTTTCCTCTTCAGAGATCTCTCATAATTTTGAAACAATTAAGCATTTGGGAAAGCGCTCTGCATCCCACGAATTGCTTTCGACTGATCATATGCACAAGCAGATGAAAATGGGTTGGTCATTCACATTCTTGCTTTTTCACATGGATAGGCTATATTACTCACAGAATCCGATTTCCATATGATATAGATGTCGAAGAAAAGTGTTCTGCAAAAAAAGACACTTCCTTGAAGATGTTAAAAAACAAAACATTCAGCAAGAATACGGTTTCACTTCCAGCACTGGCTGTCGGAGACTCTTTTGCTTACTCAAATGCGATAGATGGTGTGGGAAAAAACAATCAACAGGAAGAGAAAAGTGAGCTCCTGATTCGTCTTATTTCAGATCACTCAACTTGACCAAATTCAACACTATGATGCAGTTCAAATGTTAGAGGCTCGTATCTCTCAGCTCACAGCTTTGGTCCAAGGTATTGAAGGAAAAGTTGATACCAATCAACGCAAAGCTTTGCATACTGAAAAGATGATGGGTTAGTATTGGTTTGAATTAATTATGTACTCTAGCTGACTCCAGCTTGATCTATGTTCAGTTGAAAGATTCCAACATCAATCATCTGCTCTAGAAGGGCCAATTAGAGATATCATGTTACTCCAATCTCGGGCTGAAAGTTTAGAAAACAAAACCGCGGATTTACTGGAAGATTTAGATACAGCGTACATCAAAATTGGGGCACATGGGAGAGTAATAAAGAAGATCTTGGGTCCGGGAAATGAAATGCTTGAAGAGCAATACGGTGGTATTGATTCTAAAGGGGAAGACTGTCCTCATCGTAAGCTCTAACACCTTGATATACGGGGTGAAGTTATTGTGATCGGTAGTTTAGCTTGGGTGTTTGTAGTCTGTATTATTTAACTCTTGTTTCATCGATCATGCAATTCTAACAAAGAGTTTTAGGGCACATTGAAGAAGCTACATACATATTTTTTGGCTTAATAATTGACCATTTACAAAGCAATTAGAGAGGTCGAAGAGATACTTTTTTTTCCTTAGAATCACACAGTCTTGAGGAAGCTTGAAAAAGTTTTGAGGAAGGATGTGAATTTGTGATTAATCATCTGGGTCTTTCTCAGGAGGTTCTGATAGTTGATTATATGTCTAAAGGTTTTGATTCTTGAAGTGATATTTAGGTGACCGTCATCCGGCATTCAAGTTACAAAATTTAATCACTACTTGATCATTGCGTCCATCGACAATTTTGAGAGGGTACTTCCCAGTCTTCATGATGCTAATGTGAAAATCAATTGTCCAAGTTTTCATCTGCTGATCCAGCTTGCACAGTTCATCCATTGTGGCCGTCACTTCATGGAGGTCGGCTATGCGTACTGTAAAAACAAGGAGTATAGTTAGCTCTGATGCGACTGTGGGCAATAAAGATGGAAAAGAAAAATACAAAAGAAGTACCGTTGGATGCTTGTTGTTTGATTCTTTCGCATAAAACCGTGTATTTGTTCTGGAGACAACGAAATGAAGCTTGGAGCAGAGCGAGGCGTTCATCCAACGTCTCATCTACAAGAAGATTGATCATCAAAAGGTTAGTATGTATCATCCAGAATGACATATTCAAAGAGCTCTCACCTTTCTTTTCGTGATCTAGATTTGGCTTAGAATCATCTCGTTCGATTGGTCCTCCGCTTTGAGGCATACTGGCAATGATATATGATGTTTTTCTAGATGGGGGTTTGATCAATTTGATCTTGAAGTCGAAGAACTTGATCAAACGACAAACCTCATTACTTACTCTGTATATGTATGTATGTACATACATATACAACATACATATCTTACATTTGGGGTCCCGGGTAGTGTAAGTAACTCATTCTCGTCCAAAATCCTCGTCAGATCTTTGAAAACTTGCCGTTTGTCATGTAAGTTGCTTTGTTGCCAAGGCTCTCAAACTCCGCTGAACAGCTGTGTAGCAAGAGGAAAAGTCAGCTAACCCACGTCAATAATTTATTCAGCACAATGTCGAACACCTGGGCTTTTCATTTATCCGTCGAATGGATGTGTTAGGCCGATGATCATTCAAGACTCATAAACAAATCCAGTTATTTTGATAAGTTCTCCCTTTGCTTTGTACCTTTGTCAGTGATTTTGATTGCTCAGTATATATTTTTGGTCGCAATGGTTGGCCCGATTCGACGAAGCTCAAGGAACACCAAGGATCCTTCAAATAACGTTCCAGAAGACAATGATGTTGAGGTGGCTGCTGTGTCTTCAAAAAAGCGAAAGAAAAATACAAACGAGGAGACTAGCGAAGGCACATAACTCAATCTCGTCTCTCTGTCTAAGTCGAATCTTTTACTGACTTTTCTTGATTTCGATTGAGCAATAGAACATTCCCAGGATATATCCAGTAACACAATTTCAGAAGACGATAACACTGAAGTGGCTGCTGGGTTTTCAAAGAAGCGAAAAAAAAATGTAACCAAGACAAAAGGCACGTATCTCAAAAGATCTCTCGATGTTTTACTTGTGCTCTGACTTTGTTTTCTCTCATATTAAATCGCGTAGGTGCTAAAGTTGGTTCTCAAACCTCTCAAAATAGACTTCTTGGCCTCCTCAAACATCATATCAAGGAAAAGAAAACTAGGTCTTCCGCGACGCCTGTAGCTCTTCAGTCAGATCTTGATACATCAACTCCACCAGAAGACCTAGTCAATGTTGAGAAGAGTCCGACGGCAGGCAAAATTCAAGTCTCTGTACAAGAAGTTGGGTTTGGACAGTTCAAGGATATTGAACTTGCTCAAATGCTGCGAGATGTTGGTCTAGATACTACCGGGTGGAGCAAGGAGACCCTGGTCGAAAACTGTGAAATATACAAGGATCTGAGTTTGTGAAAATAAAATCTATCTACATCGTATTATCTGGAATCGCTGATTGATGTTTACTTTACGCTTCAGTCATTCTCCCCAAAGCTACGTGTACAGATCCAGTTCCATCCACATCCAAATCCACACCTCAAAGAGTACGGTTCAACTTCGAGAGCAACTTTGAGTTCAGAGCAACTCCGAGTGGAAAATCAAATCGTAAGTCTTTCTTACCGTGCTTTCATATTCAGTTTTAGCTGACTCTGGCATGTCCTTTTCCTAGCAAGCGGTCTCCCATGTACACCTCGAAAAGACTCTTCAACATCAGCCCTTCCGAGTTTGCAGCCTGGAGCCCTTCGATACCCTAGACCTCCGCCAACTGTACTAGACGATTCACCAACAAATTCAAAACAGAATAAGGGCCAAGCAAGAGCACATTCAGAATCCGATAATGACTATAACCCAGACATGGAGGAGGATGAAGATCAGGAGATGAAATCAAATCGTAAGTCTTACCGCGCTTTCATATTCAGTTTTAGCTGACTCTGGCATGGCCTTTTCCTAGCGAGCGGTCCCCCATGTACACCTCGAACAGCTTCGAGGACATCAGTCCTTCCAAGTTTGCAGCATGGAACCCTTCGATACCCTAGACCTCCGCCAACTGTACTAGACAACTCACCAACAAATTCAAAACAGAATAAAGGGAAAGCAAGAGCACATTCAGAATCCGATGATGACTATAACCCAGAATTGGAGGAGGATGACAATGAGGAGATGGGCAGTACTGAGAATCATGAAGATGGGTTTCATCGATCTAAAGCTCGAGGTTTTCATGGTCAGACAGGGAAGAAAGGTTTGATCTGACACTGATTACATAACCGCAAATTTGATTGACCTTCTGATAGCTGTTCAACTTCAACACATGCTCATCAGACGAATTCCGAGCTTTGAAACAGATGTTGATAATAATGAACCAGAAAATCGATGCGCTCACAAACGACCTCAAGACCTTAAGTCAAGTTGTAAAGATGCTGGTCGATAATAAAGCAGGAGATGACACTGTTCATGCAAAAACCCGTGGAGGTCGAACATCAGTGAGTTCTCTATATCTTCCACTTACCAATTTATCAGCTGATGTCCTTGTCTATACTGTATGAGATAGAGCCGTGTTCAATTTCATATTGAGCTTATGTTAGGTCAAAAGTCGCTTACATCTCCTCTTCCCCCGGGAGCATCAGGTCTTGCCCAGCAAGGCTGGAGATTTGATATTAATCTGGACAGTGTCGAAGTCAATATCAATGAAACATCACCTTATCCTGACGATTCAGCACAATTCGATCCTTGCTATCCGTATCCGGAGGGTCCTGGCCATCAAGATGCAACCCCGCAGCAATTATCAATCACTTGGAAGCTTATGAATGCGGCCGGTTTGTCAAGTTTCCGACCGGACTTTGGTGAAGCGGCAACATCACAAAGTAATCAGTGGCTATGGAATCTTGCACAGAAGATTTTCCTGAAGTTAGTTGCATATGGTGTTTATACTGGGATCTCTTTAGACCACGAGAACAAGGATTTTATCAAGCGATGCTTTGATAAGCATATACAAACCCTAATGAAAAGGTTAGTCTCACGCTTTCTTTGGCTAGATTATATTTTGAATCAAAGATCTTCTCATTAGTATCCAATTTGCTTCACGCTTCAGATATTGCCAGGAACAATGGGATGAGGAAAGAAAGAAGAAAAGTGCTGTTGACAATAAACGATCCACTAGAATGACTCGTGTAAGTGATGCACCAATTTGAGATGTGCTTTGGTACAATTTATGTGCTGATTTTGAACTATCCTATACGGCTCAAAGTTGAAAAAAGCGCGAACAGAAACCATACTTTCAAAGGAGGCTCTATGGCCTTTACTGCCCCTAGTGAAATCAGCATGCAGTGACGACGAAACAGACACCGAACCCAATTCAAATACTACCCCAAGCAAAGGTAAACCGATTGTTGTCCGTAAATCAAAATGGCAAAGTCTTGAGTTACAAACGATCTTGGTCCGCATTGATGAGCGGAAGTCTCGAGTGGAAAGCAGTATTCCAGGTAGCTCAGGTTCACCGAACCATGCAGGAAGGCCATCACGGCCACGGATAAGACGTGAAAATGCACCTGTAAGTAATATCGGGGCACCAGTGGGCCTACCCACTGACTGCTACTTGGATTCGTATCTTCGAGGTCTCAACTCGCTGGAAAAATCACACTTAGAAATCAATCCAGTCCCTGTCCTTCAACAAATGACCGATGCTTTAGATAAGCTTGGTTGGTAGGTTACCCCAAAAGTCGAACACTAACTCTAAATATAAATTTGTATTTCATGTATACCCAATGTATTTTATAATATGATCCGCTGATTGGTGTCAAGAAGATATATCTTTAGTACCTATTTACAACATATTTACAGAATTAATATTTTCGAGTTTTTTCTTTGAATTCTTTAGGACTTGTTTGAAATGAGTTTGGAAAAAACTAAAGTTTATATGCAAAGCATATGATGCCTTAGGTACAAAATTATCTCACCATAGAGAGGAGAGCAACAGTGGGAATATCTATACCACGAATTTCACCTGGCCTGTACATAATCCATGTGCAATGTGCAATAACATCATCTAATCTTACCAGCTCATCTTCCGTTGGACCCCAAGAACGTAGGTGAGCTTGCACATCAGGAGCTTGGATGAGTTGGAAAGGATTGAAGTTTTGGAGCTTCTTTGGAATTGGTGGAAAGCGCTGGATATGAAGCCAAGTAACAAACACATTTTTACCCGGTGTTGGAGATTGACGGTGTGTGAATATTGAAAAAATTCTTCCAAATTGTTCCTTTCCGGTTAGTGCTGTTCTGAACATAACAAAACTATCATCTTGACTAGCGCTAAATTTTGAATATGTTACGCCCTTGTGTATCACTCGATTGTGGAAAAATGCTTGAGGCTGTACTGCTTTGTACCCTAAAGCTTCTTCTTCAGGAAGCAAACACAGCTTATCAGGAATCATCCATTGATATTCTTGATCTTTTTGACAATTCAAGCATGTCTCCAACATCTTCAAAACATTTTCTGGAATTTGATTCATTTTTGAGTTGGACAAGCGCTTTGAGACAGGTTCTTTTGGTTCATAAAGAGATTTCAGTTTGATGATATAGTCCCTTAGACTCTCAGGAAGCTTGTCATCCTGTACAACCGCAGCCAAGTTTGCTGCACGACAGTAGCTTTTGAGAAATGTAATTTCCAACTCGCCTGATGGATGTTATAAAAAAATCAGAGTCAATTTTACAGCAATGCTTCTCTAGGCGAATTTATGGCTATGTAGTTTGTTGGAAAATTTTGACATGAAGAGCTCACCTATATGATTATTATGACTACCTTTGAGTATGCTTCCCATCAAGCGTTCAAAAGGAAAAGACCACCATGCCCGTACAGGACCAAACTCTTCCAATCGTGCAGCTAAGTGAACAGCTATATGGTGGTTTGGTGCAAGCTTGCAGTGTTGAAATAATTGAAGAGATCCCTCAAGGTATTTTTGAATATGGAATTTGTACCTTTCAATTTGATCCAAGTGGATCTCGCGTTTGAGAGCCAGATTGACAAGTGAAACTAAGTGAATAAAATTCTTTAATAAAGATGTTTTGACTTTATCTTGGCCGTGCCACATAGGTATCAGGATGAGGGGGAGCTGTAAAGCAAAAAGGTTCCTCCATTCATCAGCCTTAAGTTTTCCAAATGAAGTTTTTCCCAGTACCCGAATTGCACGTTTAATCCAGGTCGGAATGTGAATACGGGGAAGTAGTGCGTTGATTTTCTGCAGCATTCTTTTGTCAAAAATTACCTCATCAAGAGGTGGAGCTTCCCATTGTCCATTCCAGCCAACATCACCCAATGGGTCGTAATCCTCATCGCTCGTAGAACTATCATCCGCCAAAGAATGATCCTGAGTGTTTTCAATTCCTTCATTTTCATTGTCATCTAAGTTTTCAGCATCGGTATTTTGTGGTGGTGGTTTAGAATGTTCTAGCACTACAAAAAATTTAATGTATGCCGTATTGGTGGTAATGCCTCCTCTTCGTTTTTTACGTCCTCCATAGCCCAGAACCGACGCGTGTGCCACGAAAGTAAACCAAGCAATAAATTATGCATTGCATCAATTACATGATAATCAATGATATTCCAATACTCGAGCTCAATAAGCACTGAGTAACGAACACCATGAGTTTTGAAGATATCTTTTCGCTCCTTGACAGTCTTAGCGTCACGTGCCTGCATCGCCCAACTTCTATGCTGAGCACATGTTCGTGGTGGCCATTTGGTTGGATCTAAGATGTTGATGTCCGGTTTTGTGAGATGACAGATTGAACAAAAATTGGTTGCTGTTGCGCTTGGAAAGCCAAGTGATCTTCGCAAAGCCGGGATATCTGCTATAACAGGTAATAGTGCAACCTTAACGAGACGTCCTTCCTTGTATAGATACGTTTGAGATAACAGGAGACCTGGATTCCATAAAACTTGAAGCTCCGTGACTATTGGGCGCAAGATCCAGTTTGTTTGCTCCAGTGACGGTTCACGAGGGCCTGGTGCAATGCCTACAATGAACACGTTTTCAGGCCTATTACGAATCCTGACAGGAAGTGTCAAACACACCATTACAATGAATGTAATAGAGGCATGTTTACCACTTGTTTTGTTTCCATACGGGTTTATTGCATCGATAAACATCCCAAAAACCAAATTACCACTTGTGGCGGTGAATTGTTTGCCATCCGGATCACAAAACTTTTTCCAGACCTTTGATTGATGAATATCGCTCATTTTATCTTTTGGATTGTAAGGCTTACGTGACTCTTCTAATGATTCATCAAGCCATAGTTCAATATCAGGGCGGGATAAAAGACGAGCAATCCACTCAGCAAGACTCTGAAATGCGAACTTTTGGATTGGAACTTTTTGGCCACGTGCAAATTTCAATAGAGGTTGTCCACATGTTTCCTCTAAAAATTCTGAGTCATCGGGTGTGTAGTCTTTTGAAGTACTGGTCTCGATGTTGGGTTCGGCCAAATCAGGGGGTCCACCTGGAATTCTGGAAACAAGATGTGTACATTTTGTTGGGGTACGTTCAAGTGGGTAGAGTGCAAAGCAGGACTGGCAGCAGTTCATTGCAATCAAATGTGGTTTGAGTCCCAACCATCTATATACAGTCGTGATTGTCTTTGGAATTTGGTGAAGGGTTGCGGCATCAGAAGCCAGAAGCAGTGCCGGCGTTTTTACGGGGTTGACACCATGAGTTAGACATAATACAATGATGTTCCGGAAACAATCCAATAACCAGGATGCTGTCGCCATGGTAAGATTGCCATATACATTTAATATTGCCACGATGAGAGCAACATAAAGCAAAAGTGGATTGGCTTCCTCCAAGGTGAACGAGTGAAAACGATCTGCATCAATGCAATTTAGTCTGAGTGTTTGCTTCACACTTATTATTCAATGAATGTACAAAACCTACCACAATCGTACACCTTGACACCATCATTTCTTGCTGAAATCGCCGACGGACATCTTCTTGAAGACTTAGACAAATTGTTGTTGGAGGAAAGTTCTACAATATCCTCCCCTGTGTTTGAGTATGAATTTTGGGAGCCTTCATTGGTCAGTCCAGTAAGAGGTGAGTTGATACAGGATGTGCCTTGGTTCAAATATAGGTTTTGTAAAGGTTGAAGCAGATTGTCTGCAGATGGCTGGTTCTGATCCGGCAAAAGCAAAGGTCTTTGAGAAGCCAAAGTTCGAAGTGCTTTGTTCCTTTGGTCAGCAAGTGTATGCGTTTTGAGGGTGTCAGGTAAGACCTCGACCCCTTTTTGTGGGACTCCATAAGCATCTAGATATTGTCCCAGATAGCAATCAAATGCTTGACACTGGCAGGTGACTCGGTGAAGCTCGCTGTTCTTCTTTGGGCCGGCAGGCATTGTTTGATGATGTGTAGATAAAAGAGATTGTATTCAAACGGAGAAACAAGACAAGTAAAAAGTGGAATAGGAATCGACAATCACAAGGAAATGAATCACTGGATGGGTAAGCTAAACATCAGATGTCAATAAAACTAACTCTGAAACTGAAGTACACAATTCAGGGGATAGGTTATTCCGATGCGGACCAAGGGAGATCTGGGAGAAATGCACAGACAAGTTTGATGATAAAATGTTCTACATAACATACAGTCAGAAATGGAAAGCAGTGAAGCTATGAGACGATTCATAACAAATCAACATCCAGGTTGAAACATCAGGCATATGTATAGAGACAATGTCCGATCCAACATCAACTGTTAGTAGGTGAGACAGATGAATGATGAGTTTGATGGGATATGTTATATCACATACCTAGAGCTCAGTAACTAGCCGGAAGTAGCCACGCATGTACTTGTTTCTTCCTGCTGATGAATCAACCAATGAATCAGTGATCAAATTAAGATGCTAGATGAAGCATATGTCGAGGACAATAGAAGTATCCAAATGACATACCTTGGTTGTCAATCAGATGATGACTTAAAAAGAGCATAGTGATACCCGCGAACCAATACATCGTCTGGCACGTCTTCCTCACATACAAATTTGAGATAAAGGTTGATAAGGACTGGTGAAGACATAGGACCCGAGTAGATGAAGACATGAGGACAGTGGTATTGTAGAGCCATTCGAAGCTCTTCCATGTGTAGAGTGCCGACTTTGGAAGGGGAGACTGTTCGAGGCGGTTTGATATAGTCCGGCAGAGCAGGTATTAAAAGGTCTTTATCCACGAACGCCTTATAAAGGATGAGCAAGCTATCTGTGCGAGAGCCAGGTGCAATTGTAAACTTGGGATTAGCATTGCGAATAGCAGATGTGAGCTGTTGTTTAGTTGTTTTCCGACTGAGAGGGTCAAAATCATTATCAATCGATTGCTCCGTTTACATGGGCTGTGTAGTCGGCGCGGGTAAGGCATATGGCCGGACGAGAGGAAGTACGTTGGCTAGAAAATCGTTTGTCAGTAGGGCCTTCTTATGATATGGGCGAGACTTGGTTGCCGGGTTGAAGTGTACTAAGATTCGATACATCTGCAAGCAGGTGATTTCCTGAAGCTTTTGTTCAGCATCATGCTGTAAGATGATTGTACGGAGTTTGTCATCTAAAGTTTCAATTTTAAAGTATACATTATTTGAATTATCGGAAGTAGAGAGTTTAGGCGGGATGTCAAATGTCGTTTCGGATTTGGGTTGCTGCTTTTCAGGAATCGTGGGCTTAGATGTGGAGGTTGTTGCGTTGTTCTGATCATGTGAGTTTGGAGAGTTTGTGGGGGTGGATTTCTTTTTTGATCTGGTCATCTTGGGAATTATTGACCCTATTAGTGGAGTGCGAGAAAAGATCAAATATCAGTTAAAATTACGAGCAAGATTGAAGTTAAAGACAAAATCAAAATGAGATGTCAAAAGGGATTGGAGTAGAGAAAAACATACCGTCGGCAAGAAGAATCTAATTACAAGTATAGATAATATCAGCGAGGGGCGGATGTGTGAGATTGATCATGAGGCAGATCGAGAAAAAGATTCAAACATAATCTTGTGAAGACCCTTATAACTTCTCAGCAACAATGGGCCATCGGAGTTGATCTTACCGTGGGCTTGCTGATGATTTGGTGACATCAATCTGGAAGAAGTTGGAATTGGAAGGTAAGGTGTCAATCATCTGTTGTTTGATTACAATCATGAAAGGGTTTTGATAAGAATAACTCACTCACACCTGATAATTTGTTGGGTCAAGATCTGATGCGTCATGTCTGTAGAATTAATTAATGTGCGGTGTAAAGTCGACAACAAAGGTGGCCTCACCTTGTGGATGTACATAGATAATGCATTATAATAAAAACACTACCAAATTATGACACAACCTAACAACAAACCAAGTACGTGTACATGGGCAGGCTCAGAGCTGCTCAGAGTAAGTCAGCAGCTGAGACCTGAGTTTTCTTTGTCTGATCATTGGAAAAAATATTTAATTACAGAATTGGATATCTAAATAATTTAATTTATAATTACAAAATGTAACATAATAAGAGCTCTGAATAATTTAATTCACAATTACAAAATGTAATATAATCAGATATTGCCTCATACCATGTAGTTTGACATTAGACTAGCTGAATAAGATATGAGGCTCATCCAATTGATAATCACAGGGTGCAATAAATTTGGTTTGAACATTCAAATGCCCCTAGTATCATATTTTGTTATTGTGTAATTGTGTAATAGAAATAATTTAGTTTTCTGCCCGGAAAACTTTAAATTTTGGGTAGTGTGAGAGCCTGGTGAATTGAGACCAACTGAGCAGGACCTTTGTCTTTGGAGAGATGGATGGCCAGGAGGGTGCAAGATCTCATTGGAGGTGACTCTGGAATGATTGTTCACTGAGCTTGGTGAAATCAGGGACACCGGAGCTGAGACATGTGTGAAAGACCTCTTTCCTTGACCTGGAGATAATGGGGGCCCTAGGTGTTGTAATGGTGGTTGGGCCCCTTGAGTCTGAGAGGTTGAGGGGCCAGATAAATCCATTACTGATGGTTGTTATGAACTGGTTCTATTTCACTTGAGTGACATATTCACATTACATGTCACAAGCTCGAGAACCATCTTATAGTTGTAGATACATTGCCTGTACAGATTTTCCCTCATCCGACAATCCACATAGGAAGACTGGTAATAGATACAAATCCTCACCAGAACTCCCTTGACCCTCGTCGCCGAAAACCCCCAAGTCTGTCCATAACATATTGTCGGATCTATAGACGAGACTCAAGGACTATAGATAGATCACCAAGAAGAAACAAGTAGAATTGACTTAAATCGAAAGAAAACCGAACCTCAAGATTCAGAATACTAGCGAATCTCGACCTCATTAGAAAACCTTATCTAGATCTCAGAAATTCAAAGTTGAAAAGACCCAAGAAACTATTCGAAATCGAAAACCTTATTAACTAATCTGCATACGCTGAAACCGAATCCACCAGAACCTTATCTTACTTACTAAAAACTCTGTCGATCCCGACTGTGATCCCTGGACTAACAAACGCAACCACGTCTCCATCTTACCGCGCTCCTTTAGAGGAGGAGGACTCTGATAGTGAAACTCCGATCCCTTTTCTCGACGCCGATTCTAGCCTTACCGGTAGCGAGATCGATATGTCTGACACCAACATGACCTCTCTCGAAGACATACAACGCAAGCTTGCGGAGCTTTCCACCTCATTGGCTGAAGAACGCCTGATGCGAGGACAAGCTGAAGCCAGATACCAGCAGTCCGAAGCTCGTTTAGCGGCGTTGGAATCCCGAGGCCCATCTGCACCTGCTGCAGCCACTCAACCACCCACTGCGCCACAGCCACCACCAGCTGAACCGGTCCTGAAGGGCCCCAAAGTCTCGACGCCCGATAAATTCAACGGCGCTCGAGGCGAACCCGCAGAGATCTTTGCGAGTCAAGTCCAGCTCTATATGCTGGCACACCCCTACCTCTTCCCCAACGACCGAAGTAAGGTGGTTTTCTCGCTGTCTTACCTCACGGGAGCAGCCAGCAGTTGGGCGCAACCCTTGACAAAGGAGTTATTCGACCCCGCTACCGCCCACCTCGTAACCTTTGAACGCTTCGTTACAAATTTTAAAGCTATGTATTTCGATACTGAGAAGAAATCGAAGGCGGAACGCGCGCTGCGAAACTTATCGCAGAAGACCACCGTGGCCGCGTATACCCATGAATTTAACATTCACGCAACTTCTACTGGCTGGGAAACTCCGACGCTCATTAGTCAATACGAGCAAGGTTTGAAAAAGGAGATTAGAGTGGCAATGGTTATGACGCAAGAGGATTTCACGTCAATTGAACAAATCACTAATTTAGCTATCAAGATAGACAGTAAATTACACGGCGCGACCAACCCAACCTTCCATACGCCAAGCACGAGTGCAGGAATCTCAGACCCCAATGCCATGGATTTATCAGCCGCCTACGTTAGATTGTCCGAAGAGGAACGAGCACGACGTATGCGAGCGGGTTTATGCTTCCGCTGCAATGGCCAGGGTCACATCTCCAGCGCATGTCCCGATCGTAGAGCTAGTAGGAAAGGGAAGGGTCGAGGTGGTTATCAATCAAAAATAGCTGGATTGGAAATTAAAGTCGCAGAGTTGAGTAATCAGAGGGTGAATCATACCAGTAGTTTAGAAGGAGTAGGACGAGCTGAAACTTCAAAAAATGGAGAAGCTCAGGATTGAAGGTTGTGCCCATCCTGAGCCACCTGGAGAATTTGTCATCAATTAATGTGGGATCTAGTAGAATGAACTTGTGCAATACAAACGACCCGCGCATTTTTTTACACACCACATTATCCATGTCCCAAATTCCCCGAGCCACACCGTCCCAAACATTTCCCGCTACGTTCCTCATTGATTCAGGTGCTACGCACGATGTGCTCAGTGAATCATTTGCCTACCAAGCTGGCTTGATAGCCGGTGCTGATCGACATGACCAATTGATCACTGGATTCGACGGCTCTGAGAGCCGATCTTCCTTCAAGACCCACCTTTTTATCAAATCCGACCCATTACCGACCCCATTCATCATTACAAGACTCAAAGACTCGTACGACGGCATACTTGGCATGCCATGGATCAAGAAAAACTTTCACCTGATTGACTGGAGTAAAAGTATGGTACACCCAGCCGAGACTCACGTTGCAACCACTTCATTGGTTTCGTATTGGCCGAAAACACCCTTATCTGGCCACTCGTTGGACCCCATGAGGGACGCTAGGCACAATTACGAGGGGATGTGTGTCAATTCTGACACGTTAGCATCCCCGCAATGTGAGTTCGAGAGTCCAGTTAATCCTAATCACCTTGAAACAGATGACAACCCTCTATCTCCCGATAGTTCCCCCCTTATCA